ATATTCTTTCGTTCTTTTGTTATTATTCCATTTAGATTCCTCGACTGTTTTTGGCCATCATCGGTTTATTTGTCTTGCTGGCCAGTGAATGAAAAATGTCTTTTTCTAGAGAAAATGAACTTTGATCTGAGTTTTCATTTCTTTTTTATTTTTTTATTTTCAAATATATTTAAATTCCTTGTGTTAATCTGTTTAAGTTGTTATAGTAAGAGCTGGATGATTAAATTCTCTGGTCAGTGACGTTAGCATTGACACAAATTTTGTCTCGCCAAATATCACGGCCGAAAAAATACCTAGTCTAGTTTGTTGATCAGCTAAAAGCTGTCAATTAAGAAAATGTCAAAACCGATCTTTTTGGTTTAAAGCGTAGGCCCCTCGCATTTAGCGTGATTGGATGTTAGAAATCATGTCTAAAGATACATTGAAAGCGGATCAGTGTTTGCCATTTCTTCATCCTGAGATGAAATGACATCGTAATGAAACAGAAGAGGTAAACAAATCATCCATCTATCTATCTATCTATCTATCTATATATATATATATATATATATATATATATATATATATATATATATCTTGAACAATCTAATCTATCTCTCTCTCTCTCTCTCTCTATAAAATAAAAAATTAAAATATTTAGACACATATGGGTATGATCGACAGTATTAGATGAAAAAACAAACAAATATTCTTTCGTTCTTTTATTATTATTCCGGACGTTTAGTCTAATTCATCTTCAGGACATATTCATAGTTTCATAGACCGAAATGGCCATCATCAAGGAGAAGAAATATTTCCGTTTAAGCAATGCTTGTTGTACACACAACAAAGCTGGAACGATTTTGACAGATTTTAAAATATTTTCATAATAAAAAATGAATGACATAATATCTTTGACCTGGAGAAAATGAAGATTTTTCGACAAACGTACATATAAGTTTAGAGTTAAAATTATTTTTGTTTTTTTTTATTTTTTATACGTTTTAACATGAATCATATTTAACGGAATTCTTTGATTTGTTGGTCAAACAGTCTTTGAAGTTGTTATTTGAGATAAGAGCTGATAGATACATGTTACTCTGAATTGTGTGGTCAGTTTGACAGTTAGTCATACAAAAACAAATACAAATTTGATTTATGTCTCGTCGCGCCAAATATCACGGCCGAAGAAAAAATCCAGTTCTTATTATTTTCCGATCCAAGAAGCCATATTTTGGATCCAGCTAAAGAAATTCAATTAAGACATTGGTTCATGTCCGGAGCGAATTTAACAAGTTCTTGTACAAATATGGTGATCTTTTTTTTTAGTTTAAATTGTTCAATAGGCCACGCACTTATTATCAGTCTTGGATCAGTTAGTAGCGTGCCATTCATGATATTATTCATGGCAAATACGATCATGCGAGAAATCCATCGTTTCAAATGATACATGACTGAAGAGGCAGAAGACTTTTTTTCTGCAGTGTTTTGCCATTTCTTCATCCTGTGATGTAATGACATCGTAATGAAAAAGAAGAGGAATATATAAATATATTATGTGTGTGTATCTATGTGTCTATCTATCTATCTAAATTCTTTATCTCTCTAAATATCACCATCTATCTATCAAGAATCTATTAGTATCTATCTATCTATTGATTTGTTTATCTATCTTTTCTATTTATCTATCTGAGTTAGTAATTTGAGTGTCATCTATCATTCTTGGGCAATTGGTTTCTTTCTATCTATCAGAAAATTTTATCCATCTAGGTTCCATTTCTTCATCCTCTCTCTGATATCGTATGGAAAAAAGAGAAATAAATTATATATATATATATATATATAAATAAAAAATATACGGAAAAAACAAACAAAAATCATATATACAATTATGCTGTTTTATTAATATGTCAACGTAAGTTTTGTCTAATAAAACAGGACATATTCATATTAGACATTATCAAACGTCTGACGTTGACATATTAACATTAAAACACCATAATTGTATATAAGGATTTTTGTTTGTTTTTCCGTATATATTTTTCTTCATACTGTCGGATCTATATCCATATATTTGCTTATATATATATATATATATATATATATATATATATATATATATATATATATATATAGTAGTAGTAGTGGTATAAATTCTTTTTATATCTCGCCAAATACCACCTCCGAAGAAAATGACATCCACATTTTACGATCCAAGATGGCATATTATGATCTAGCTAAAAATAAAAAAATCAATTTAAGACCGAAGCTTATAAAAGATAAGCTTCGGACAAAAACCAATGTCTTAAATTGATTTTTTAATTTTTAATTTTAATTTTTTAATTTTTAATTTTAATTTTTTTTAAATTCAAACCCACTCAGGCAGTCAGGTGCTATACGGGATACACGCTTGGGCGATTTTGTCTTTTTCAATACACGACTGAGGCGGCAGAAGATTTTTTCCGCAGTTGGTTGCTATTTCTTTCTGCGGTAGACTGGCTGCCAACAAAGGCTAAAGACCTCATTCTGTCATGCTATTTAACCCATAGCTCATGGGAGATGAGGTGGATTCATACCTTTCTCAAGGGTATTTGTCTGTGAGCGAGTCTAATGAACTTGACTGGAATTCGAACTCGGCTCTCCGACTTCTCGCTCCGAGCCGATATCCATTACACCCCAACACACATCCACTATAAATTTGTTAAACCTCTCGCATCGTCGTGTCTGCAAACAAACAATATGGCTTTTACTTATTTAAGTAAAACTCCAGTGTTAACGGTTATTCTCAAAAGAACGTGCCAAGATTTAGATAAGAAATTCGAAGCTCGGGCTGTTGCCTAGAATATCTTGAAGGTACTTGATAGAGTATAACTTGCTGTTACGAATTTTGATGTGATTTAAACTTTCTATAGATCCACATCTTTGTTGTTGGTCTCACACCGTTTCGACTGTTGTGCCCCCGGCCTTCTTCATCTGTATATCGATCTGGGTAAACCACAGGGAATTCTTATAGTAATTGGTTCATTTTCATAGTAAATCATTCCTCATGTATTTGCAATGCATTTTCCTAGTAAAATCCTTTGCAAAGGATTTCTATAATAAACCCATTTGCAATGTATTTTTAGAGTAAAATCATTTGTAATGTATTTTAATAATAAAATCATTTGCAATTTATTTTCATAGTAATATCATTTGTAATGAATTTTCATAATAAAACCATTTCCATTGTTTTTTTCCATAACATTTGCAATGAGTTTTCATATAATAATTATTTGCAATGTGTTTTCGTAGTAAAAATGTATTTTCATAGGAAAATACTTTTCAATGCAATTTTATAGTCAAATCATTTGCAATGTGTTTTCATAATAAAAAACATTTGGAATGTATTTTCATAGTAAAATAATTTCCAATGCATTTTCATTTTAAAATGATTTCCAATGCATTTTCATTTTAAAATAATTTCCATTGCATTTTCATTTTAAAATAATTTCCAATGCATTTTCATTTTAAAATGATTTCCAATACATTTTCATTTTAAAATAATTTCCAATGCATTTTCATTTTAAAATAATTTCCAATGCATTTTCATTTTAAAATGATTTCCAATACATTTTTATTTTAAAATCATTTCCATTGCATTTTCATTTTAAAATGATTTCCAATACATTTTTATTTTAAAATCATTTCCATTGCATTTTCATTTTAAAATAATTTCCAATGCATTTTCATTTTAAAATAATTTCCAATACATTTTCATTTTAAAATAATTTCCAATGCATTTTCATTTTAAAATGATTTCCAATACATTTTTATTTTAAAATCATTTCCATTGCAGTTTGATTTGATTCAATCTTTCTATTGCCCTCTACATTCTTGTTATCACAGCGTTTCGGTTGTTGTGACCGCAGCCTTCTTCAGTTGAATATCGAACTGCGTAACCTACGAGGAATTCGCAATAGAACACTTTATTTAATCTACGTTGTGTACTTGCATTAAGTGGAAACGGGCGAACAATAACCGAGCATTAGTAAATAAAAACAAGAACTAGACGAGATATCCATAGGCATGGGCAGTTCGATATACACCTGAAGAAGGCCGGAGCGCACAACGGCCGAAACGTTGTGATAGCAACAAAGATGATAACAATATTACGAATATAAATAGTCTAAATAATGATAATTTCTCCTCCCAGGAATTCATGATGAGTTAATATTATTCATCAAAGTTTTCTTAAGTCTTATTCTTAATATATATACCGGATGTCCATAAAGTTCATGTGCACTTTTAAAAAATTTATAACTTTATTTGTATTTGCGATAGAAATAATCTGTAAAAAATGTTATAAAGTTTAATGTGCGTAGTTTTAAGTATAGCTAAAATAACTAATGTGATTTCAGGCATTACTGTAAATCAGTTGGCAAATGTTTTCCGTGAACTGCAAAAACGTATTACCCTTTGTATTGCTAATGATGGAGGACATGTGGAAACTGAAAAAAAATTTCAATAAAACATTTAAAAAATATAGATTTCTTTCTTTCTAATCCTTTTTAAAAATTATTTCTTTCGCAAATACAAATAAAGTTGTATTTTTTAAAATGCACACGAACTTTATGGACACCCTGTATATTAAGGACACCCTGTATATATAGATAGATAGTTAGATTGACAGACAGATATATATATATATATATATATATATATATATATATATATATATATATACAGTGTAACCCGGATATAAGAGACCCGGATATAAGAGAAACCCGGATATAAGAGAGATTTTATCTGCTCCCAAATTAGAGCCTGTGTTAATGTATATAAAATAGACCAAACCCGGATATAAGAGAAACCCGGGTATAAGAGACTTCTTCTCCGCTCCCGACAACTCTCTTATATCCGGGTTACACTGTATATATATATATATATATATATATATATATATATATAATGTAGTGGTTCCAACGAGAGAAAAGTATGTATATTAAAAAGAAGAGAAGAGAGGTGCCGCAAACGTTTTTTTTTGGTTGTAATGTGGATTTATTTAGAAAAAATATTATGCTTTGTTTTACATAATTTTACGGTACGTGTTTCTGGTCTCGCGACCGTCTTCAGGTAAAAGTGGAGATTTCCACATATTATTAAAAATAATTAATTTTTCCTCATGTTCAATGTTAAATATTCTCGATCTGAGACATTTTCTGTTTTCTGTATATGGATATGAGACATTTTCTGTTTTCTGTATATATATATATATATATATATATATATATATATGTGTGTGTGTGTGTGTGTGTGTGTGTGTGTGTGTGTGTGAGATAACGATATATATTTTTATATATAAGAACAATATTGGGGAAAAATGTATGACAAAGTGAAAAAGTTTTCTTGTGGCGTGTTTCATCCTTTAGTAGTTAACCGGATTAAATTTGATATGTCGATGCGACTACACATGCGCAAAAACAAGGAGTACTGGTAATTTTAAGTCTATCTAGGACGCGATTCACTCCTCCAGAAATTTGCAAACGGCATACTCTACTGCTCGGCATTCGCGCTGGATGCACTAATACGAATATTTCAGAGTGTTTGAGTGTCAATCTGGAGACAGTGCAGAGAATTCAGAATGAGTTGGATGAGTCTAACGTTGATTACGTAGGTACGACACGTCGGAAAACTCACTCTGATCGTTTTGATAGGAAAAGAACTCCCGAATTTGTTGGTGATGGCTTCAAACTCAGTACGGTGGTCCACATCAAGTGTTTTGAGGAGGTAGTGCTGCTCTGGGTCAAGAGGATGGCTGCTGAAAGACCCTATGTCTGGCAACAGGACTCTGCTCAATGCCACACATGCAGGAGAACCAATTTATTTCTGCGACCACATCGCCATTTATACCTGGGCACCTAATTCCCCAGACTGAAACCCAAAGCTTTAACATCGACTGAAGGGTTGAATGAGGGGTGTGACTGGAGTAGTGTTGAGGAAACATGATATCAGTCAGCAGTAGTGATCATAAACGTACAATAAAATTTACAGACAGAGAGATTCATAAAACACTAACGCACGCATATATATATATATATATATATATATATATATATATATATATATACAAACAGACACTGGAATTAGATTTTTTTATTACATGCCAGGAATTTTTTAAAATAAATATTTATTTTTACAGAATTATTACAATTAATATTAAAATGTGTTTTCTTAATTTCATGCGCAGAGATATTTAAAATGATATATTTTACTTAGAGTAAAGGAATCATTTAGCATATATATATATATATATATATATATATATATATATATATATATATATATAAATCAGCAAATATGTTTACCATGGCTAAGATACGAAAACAAGCTGAAAAGCAAATTGTCAGCTGTCAATATACCACATAACACCCTTGAGCGCTTAGCCTTGGAGCGAGTAGAATGGAGATGAACGTGTTTTAGTGGACTTAGCAGTGTTCAATCTGCTTGTCTGAATCGTTTTCAACAAGCAAGAGCAAGATCTAAAAGGTCAGTCAATCTAACAGTGATCTCATCCCACAATCCTCACTCTTGCTGCATATGTAGCCTTCTTTGTAAATGACTAGCGGGTCTTAAGTGCCACTTAAGATTATCGGACAAAATTTCATAAGTGAATCAATTAAGCTGTCAGATCATACGTCATACGTCGAATATATATATATATATATATATATATATATATATATATATATATATAATGCAAGGCGTTAACCTTGGTAAAAGAAACATTAAGGACAATAAAAGAACAGCATTCAAAGAGACAGAAGAAATCGATACGCATTGTATTTCAGTCTTTGAAGACTATAGTTAACCGGAAAACTGGAAGCCGCAAGAGAGTTACACAAACGAGAAATTCGCGAGAAAAACATTATTAGCATAAGACTAGCAATTGCAATATAGAAATTATGAGACCTAACAGCCACTCTAGCATTTTGATTAGATTCGTGAAGTCGTTGTGACAACTAGGAACAATTACCGTGACAATACGAAGAGAAACGTGAATCTAGGTTACGGCGGTAGGGATGTCACTGAAGCCGAGATACCGAGTTAGGACCGATATCGTTGCAGGTTATATCTGTGTATCTGACAGTGTTACTGGTGCCGAAATAGAAATGCTGTATGTTTGAAAGAGAAACAGTGGGTGTATTTGAGAGATAACATATGAGAGCATACGAGATAGAAAGATAAATAGATAGCAAGTGCTTGGGCGAGTGTGTCCGTGCGTGTTTGTGTGGTTGATGTCAGAACTGAGAAATAAAAACCTTGTTAAATGTTACTTCAGGTCCAAATCAAGATAAGGCAAATGCCTGTGCGTCATATATATATATATGTATATATATATATATATATATATATATATATATATATATATATATATATACTTTTTTAAGGCGGGATTGACTCCACCCAGATGTCACGTGGTAGTCACGTGATAAGCAAGGTGTTTATAGCGATTAATGGTTATCGACTTAACCCAATGCCAGG